TTTTAAACATTGAAACTAACAGGTGTCTATAAAAGGATTGCATATTTATTTCTTTGTGCATTTATCTGGGTCAAAATGATACAATCGTAATTTACTGTCATCCTCCACAAAACGTGCGAAACTTGCAGACTTTGAAATAACGGAGTTTTTGAAAAGTGATGCTGTTTTTATTAAGCCTTTGTAAATGCTAGAGTTTTATAAATGTACCGTTTTAGAATTTATATAAAATGTAATCCATTCATGCTAAGTCTTGCCAATTTGTCACCGAGTCTATGAGGTCAAAAAGTTTAAATAACCGTGTTCCGTTTACAACCGTGTCGTATTCCATATGTGGTGAGATCGTGATTCGTGAGGCTGGTGTAATGAGCTTTTCATGCCTAATTCTTTGTGCCTTTGTCGTAATTTGCCGCGCATACATCTCGTCATGTGTCATATTTTAAGCTTCATTGTGGGAAGTTTTTGTCTGACGAGGATTAAATTTGTAAAGCTTGTTGGCACGCATGTTCTGACAAGTGAAGATTAGGGAAATTAGCTTGTCTAGTTATTAATCATATTTTATTCGCTGCTCTTTTTTGACGATCTAACGACTATTGGAATATCAAAAGTTGAGACTGAGTTGCCCCACCTTATTCTTACCGAGACTGAAATGATAACAGGTGTTTTTGTATGGAGTTTGACAGACTTGTGACGTTTGTTAAAGTTATAGTAAGATGGTGCAACCCAGCCTAAAGGTAGCCTTTCGAACTAAGCGTCACAGACGCAGCGTCTTTAGCTTTGGTCTTAAAGGTAGCCTTTCGAAGCGAGTTAGTGACGCGGCGTTGGTGGCACAAGACCAAAGCGAAAGCTAAAGACGCTTAGTTCGAAAGGCTACCTTTAGCAGCTTTCAGTTACCAGTAATATATTTTTTTCGAGTGGCGACCACGAGCTGGAAGAGGTAGCATGGGCAGGCCTCCTACTAGGTGGACCGACGATCTGGTAAAGGTCGCGGAAAGAGCCTGGATGCGGGCAGCGCAGGACCGTGCATTGTGGAAAACCTTGGAGGAGGCCTTTGTCCAGCAGTGGACGTCATTTGGCTGAAACGAACGAACGAACGAACGAACGATTATATTTTTTTATAACTGTCTAATTTATACTACGTTGATTCCCGCAAACGTCGCGTAGATCAGTAAGCGTACGAGCGAGGAAGTCCCCACTTACGTGGCTTTCGTGTGTGGGAAGTGGATGGGTTCGTGCTGCTGCAAGTTTAGGTGTTCTAGGTCATACGAATAAATATTTTATGCACACGGCACAGAGTTGTTTATTGGATTTACTGTAAGTGGTGTAGACCAAATAGAGAATATAGTGTCCTTAGTTGTACTTCGAGCAATGGATAATGAGGAACATACTCCTAACATGCTTAGTTATTTCACTAATTTTGCTTGTGTAAAATCTTGTTTACATGTCCGATATCATGTAAAACTTGACATGTTGTGTTTCCAATTACATAAATAAAATGTGGAAATGGTTTACAATTATAAACAACTCAATCGCCATCTACGACATTTAATTTTATATACAAGACTACAGCCTTAAGCATGGCCGATGAGCTATTTAGCACATTTTCGGAAACTTAATGCATCAGATTCTCATCCCTGCGCTCATAAAAGTTCCAGTCGCAAAAATCGAGGCGAGACTTTTAGTCGCCAAGTGTCGATATAGTCGCATAAACGTGTGATTTCGATACCTCAATCGTACACAGAGATAGATAAGGGAATGCAAAATCGATTGCGGCCTAATCTGCTGACGCCATAAAGGCTGTATTATCTAAAAAAACCCGTAACTATCTTGAATATCAGTCTTCGAGCAAGGAAGCACTCACTTAGAGCATAACGTTATGTGGGAACGTTTTAACGAGTTCTTGGTGCTGTAAACGTTCTGGCGCCGCATCAGCGCCTTGCAGGTCAAGCGAATAAATCTTGTAAGCATCGTGAGTTCTGTAATGCAAGACACTTGTGATATAGCACCTTTATGATCTGACTAGACTAATTATGTTAGCGCCACCGCAGTAATTGTTTCAAATAAAATTTTATTCTAACTCTAACAACACTATACTTGGTGGTTATTTTGCGACAAACACAAATCATTGTTGTCTTTATTTCTATATCTGACTAAAAAGGTAGAGCCTCTCGTAGAGCCACGGCATCTTATCTCGCACACATAAATTAAACGCTTGATGATTTTTCAACTAGTTTTGCACGTAGTTTTTTAATTAAAATTACTTGAAGTCAATAAGCCTCTGTAAATAATAGGGGGACTTCATGATTTGTTGCGAACAAGAGCCTCGTGAGCCTTCTCTCCGATTTCCGTAATATAACCTAATAGCAATGTTTAATAGAAACCGCGAACTAAATTGAAGTTTCTTCCGCGAATCTCCTGTAATTTCCAACACGAAACAACGCCAGGTGTTGTGAAAGCCATTTCAGCCGCTGAAATTGAGCGGAATCATTTCGCCATTCGGATAATTCGTAAAACTTTGACAGTTTGAGTTGAATTAGCAAAGTTTTATGAATCACTTCCACGAATGGAAGAACCATTTAGATGGAGATAACTTAATGTAGGAAGAACTTAAACTAAATGCGTGACTTTTATCGTGTCCTACTATTTATTTACTAATCTAAAACCTATATTTGTAGTCTAACATCGATTCAATAAAATAACAGATAACAAATCGAATTGCCCACTGCTGTCATTAACTGAGACTATGGTAGGTGGTCGTCGAGTCTAGTTGGTATTGTTACGCCCATAAATTATTCTGTAGTTCGTAATAATCGGAATACTATTTTAGGACATGTCTATTATACCGCCATTTGTAATAAAATAGGGGTGTAAGGATTTTTGTTCATGATAAGGATCAGCTCGGTTTTTCAATCAATACAATCACGTTGGTACATGGTCGGAGGGCGTCGAACCACGCTTTATTTATCTGCATGCCAACCGTTGTCAAGGCGCGAGGCACCATGCGCCAATTCCGATGAAAAACAAATTGCAACTTGCAAAGAACTCCCTATCCCAACATGCCACCGATAGCTCCCTGTTCTTCAGTTCAATTCGAGACTCCTTCGTTTAGCAATCGAATCAATCGTTTGGATATCCATTTTGTTTCTGCTTGTACTCCCATTATCTCATGGAATTGTTTTACGGTTAAATTATTCTTATCATGTCAATTAAAACCTATCTAGTCCATTAGCCAATTATTTTGTTCTAGTTTGATAGGTTCAACGACCGTCAGGTGTGTGGCAAGTGTGATCTATGTTTGTGTGCTGTCAAGTTCAAGTCAACACTGCCTATGTATTGATCGGGGCTCACCTTGCACGTCACACATACATTTTTCATCAATGTGACGGACAAAAGACATTAATGAAAGCGAATGGCTGACTATTATTTCCAATTTCGTTCGCTTACAGGGCGATTCCAGTAATTGATCAATGATATTGCCTGAACGGTTAGCCGTTTAGCCAGTCGCACAGTCAGTCAGTGTCTGCCTCGCGAGCAGTTTTCTTCTTCCTTTTATGTGTTACTATTTTTAGTTCATTTAACATTGAAGTAGAAATAGTACGTTGTGATTTTTTTTTCGATTAACTTTTAAGGAACGGTGGTGTTGACCTATTATAATTTATTCTCGTAGGTCAGTGAGGTTGGTCTTGACATGTTAAATTGTGCGTTAAGCGAGTTTTTCAGTAATGAGCGCAGTTGATATGCAATTTCACCTTCGCGCACGACCGTACCCGGCGCGCGTGCGTCACGGTTCATTGCCTTGACTACGGAAAGAGATCCTAATATGGCGCTTGCGCAGGATTGCCTTGCGCCAACGCAGACCGCAGCCATTACAGATAATTCGTCTGTCAGGAGAGTACATATAATGTTACACTTTGATACAGTTCCTAAATATTTGAAGGAATAATGGCCAAAGAGCTGACCAGACATTAAAAAAGCCAAATAAAGAACGGATTGAAGATCCACAAATATGTGTTGTTCATGGTTACGATGCAGGAGGAGAGTGGCGGATTCGAGCGAAGTCAGCTCTGCCAAAGAGGCTTTTGAACAAACAGAATTACCTTCTAAAGAGAATACAGATGCCAAGGAGGAGAAGGCAACCGAGAAAAAGTCACGTAAGAGAAAAAAACAGCTGTTTGTTGCACTCGAGTTTTCGCAGGGCTTTCTCTAGAATTTTATCGCTTTATGCACTATTAGACACGCATTTGGCTTGATCGTATTTAGGTTTTTTATTTCTGTTGCGGTTTTGCAAAGGTCTCGGTTCAATATAAAAATTACGTCACTGTTCTGTCACATGATTCACTGACTTGAAAATTGAAAGAGCCGCTTTTTGGTTCTGCGGTAAACTTGGCGATTGTAGAAATCAAAAATGACGTTATAAATGCTTTCACTGGCTACCTTATTTTATTGGACATGAATATGAGGATTTGTGAGCTGCGTGCTCTTTGTGCATTGGACACATAATATAAATAAACATAGAATATGTGAACTTTAGGATCTAGTCTCCAGTCAATGAAGTAAACCAGAAGCTAGACAGTGGTGACTGAGTTTGTTGCGGCGCTTCTTCTCAGCACTTGCCAAATGCTGGTCTCGAAGCGCTGGTAGGGTAAAAAGATTATGAGACATGTAGAGGCTCCTTAAGAGCAAAATATTTGACGATTTGCAAGTATTATTTATAAGTAGAATAGAATAGAATAGAATAGAAAACTTTTTATTTGCAAGAAAGGTATACAAGCAGGTAAGACATAGATTAAAGTCTCCCTCCACCCTTTGGCAGAAGTGATCAAAATGGCGTAGAACTTCTCTGCGCCTGGATATGGAAGCCATTTCGTTTCATATCATGCTTTGAGTCTTGCTCTCTGCCTGTGTAATTTTTCTCAACTACATTCATAGACTGCCTGTTTCGTCTTATGACGACGGTGAAGTTATACATTTGAATTTACCCTCGTCTCCTTTGGTGTCTCCAGCGCCATCTCGAGTCACCCGCAACAACCAGATGCGGTTGTCGAACGCAGGCGGCGCATACACCAACGGCCACGGGGGCGACACGACGGGGCGGCGCGGCGCCGAGAACGTGCCGCCGCCGCAGCCGCAGCCGCAGCAGCCGCCGCCCAACTCCAGGGTCACGCAGCAGGTAACCAACAGCATCTGAACACGTTAATATGGAATTACGTTACGTTAATTTGTCGGCCGTTTGGTATAGTGGTTCAACGGACTGAAATTGAAATGATGAATTTTAATTTCTGTGACGGGTCTGGGTGTTACTATGTATAATAATATGTATGTATTTACAAAAAAAAAGTATTTAAATAAGTTTATATCCGTTGTCTAGTACCCATAGTACAAGCTTTGCTTAGTTTGAGACTAGAGGCGCAGTGTAAAATGTTCAAGGATATTTATTTTATTAGAAAAGTTTGCAGTATGTGAGACCGATGAAGCCCACACTTGGGTTGGTCGCCGTGGTGCACTGGTTTATATTTAATTTTAAATGTTAATATTAAATGTTTACTCATACTCCAACCCAAGAGTCACATAATTCTGGTGTCTGAACAGCTGCACGCGTAAAGTTTGCTACATAGTATTAGGCTGCGAGTTCACCAGAGATATGCGAGGATGTGTAGCGAGGGATGTGTTTGTAAAGAACCAATAGAATCGTTTCATTTACCTCGCCTCGGTAAATAAATCTTCGCACATCTCCGATGGAAACGCAACCTAAGTCCCCTGTTGGTGATGGAATTATGGACATTATTGGAAACGGAACGTAAAGGAACTGAGAGTGTGTGAGCGAAAGACAGAATATGGGAAAAAAAATGCGGATGGATGCAAGAAGCGAGCGTGTTTGATCCGAGAAGAAAAGTACACTCTATAAAATTAACTGCTTCATTTCTTGCCGATATTTATCATCTTAGGTAGGTGATCCTTAAACCTTCCTCCTTCCCAACTCCAACCATCCTAACGCATCCCTTTCCCCGCTAGCCGCCAGCCTCCGGGGGCCGCTCCCGCTCCGGCAGCACGCCGAGCGCGGCGTCGGTGGTGACGGGGCTGCAGCAGTCGCCCTACATGCCGCACCTGCAGCGCCGGCTGCACAGCAACCAGAAGGAGGTGGCTATCCTGTCCTGCTATCCTTTGTCCTCTCCCCAGAAAGATGTGAACTGCGAGTATAACCGTAATCGTTCCACGCTACTGTTGAAGAAAAGCATTGAAGGAGTTGGCTATCCTCTCCTGCTATCCTTTGTCATCTCCCTAGAAAGATGTGAACTGCGAGTATGACCGTTCCACGCTACTGTTGAAGAAAAACATTGAAGGAGGTGGCTATCCTGTTCTGCTATCCTTTGTCCTCTCCCTAGCAAGATGTGAACTGCGAGTATAACTGTTCCACGCTACTGTTGAAGAAAAATATTGAAGGAGGTGGCTATCCTCTCCTATACTCTCCTGACCCCGCTAGCCGCCAGCCTCCGGGCCTGCTCTCTCTCCGGCAGCACGGTCGCCCTACATGCCGCACCTGCAGCGCCGGCTGCACAGCAACCAGAAGGAGGTGGCTATCCTGTCCTGCTATCCTTTGTCCTCTTCCCAGAAAGATGCGAGCTGTGACTAAGAGGATAACGGTTCCATGCTACAGTTGAAGAAAAACATTGAAGGAGGTGGCTATCCTGTCATGCTATTCTTTGTCCTCTCCCCTGAAAAATGCGAGCTAGGCCTAAGAATATAACCGTTCTATGCTATTGTTGAAGAAAAAAATATAAATGAAAAATTCCGTGGTTTGTGAGCCTCCAATTTGCAGCCTCTTCATATTAGAGACGCGAGGAAGCGCTGCAGTGGCGCTACTGCGGCGCGGCCACTAGTTTTCATATAATTTTTAGAAGTGCAACGCACGTCGTATACGTTATGGTCACTATCAGGACAAATGCTACCACGCTGCCGCCACGCTGCGACTGCGCTTCTAAAAAACTTCTGGAAAGCTTACCCAGATTGTTTCACCCGTTTCACTGTTTCAATTAGTGCCACACGCTGACATCTTGAACTCGTCAACCTCCCCTCAGTAAACCTGACAAAGTCTATTGATTTTGAAACTTGCACTCTAGCTCAAGACATAGTCTTCCGAAGCAGGAAAACTTAACCAGGCTGTTTCCCCTTAGTTCACAGCACCAAGCACGGGCGTACCAGGTGCGCGGGCAGCCGGTGTATCAAGCACAGTATCGGTACCCCATGCGGTGGCATCGGGCGCGGTGCGGCGATCCAACGTTGTAAAAGAAGTGGAGCGGCTCAAGGAGAACCGTGAGAAGCGCCGCCAGAGGCAGGCCGAGCTCAAGGAGGAGAAGGTAAGTTCTTGTTGTTCTAGAAACTTCTTTCTATTGGCTATGATCAGCGCCAGGATGTGCTCAAGGAGGAGAAAGTACGCCTTGCCATTCTAGAAACTTTTATCCCTTAGCCAAAATCAGCGCCAAGCTGAAGAGGAGAAGGTATCTCATTAATCCAGGCATGTCTATCCCTTGGCCAGGTTCTACTTGTCATTCCAGGAACTTCTATTCTTTAGCCAGGATGAACGCCAGGAAGAGCTCAAGGAGGAAAAAGTACGCCTTGTCATTCTGGAAACTTTTATCCCTTAGCCAAAATCAGCGCCAAGCTGAAGAGGAGAAGGTATCATTAATCCAGGCACGTCTAGCCCTTGGCCAGGTTCTACTTGTCATTCCAGGAACTTCTTTTCTTTAGCCAGGATGAACGCCAGGAAGAGCTCAAGGAGGAGAAAGTACGCCTTGCCATTCTAGTTCCTTGCCATTCTAGTTCCTAGAATGGCAAGGCGTACTTTCTCCCTTATCCCTTAGCCAAAATCAGCGCCAAACTGAGTTCAATAAGAAGACGGTATGTCTTGTCAATCAAGTCACGTTTATCCCTTGGCCGTCTTCTGTCCATTTTTATTACTCGAGAAGCGCCGTCAGCGCCAGGCTGAAATCAAGAAGCCTTGCCATTCCAGCTTTTCATTTCTTTACGACATTCAATCTTTTTACAGAGAGAACTAGGCTTTGATTAAGACAGTCTATGACTCTGCACTTTATTTCCCGCTTACATACTTTACTACTCCCATTATAATACCTATAACATGGTCTATCTCGGTTTACAGGAAGCACTAATGAACATGGACCCCGGCAACCCCAACTGGGAGTTCCTGGCCATGATTCGCGAGTACCAGAACAGCATCGAGTTCCGGCCGCTGACCGGCAACGAGCCCGTCGAGGACCACCAGATCACCGTCTGCGTCCGCAAGAGGCCGCTCAACAAGAAGGAAGTGGCCAAAAAGGAGGTGAGAACTGCTATAGTCTGGTCCGTGAGCACGTAGAATCTTGTCCAATGACCCCAAGCTACCCATCCTTATCGCTCGCGCGTAATTATGTTGCTATCGCGCTCGCACACTCACTGCGGGTGCCAGTCGCACAGTCGCGACAGCAATATAATTACGCGCGAGCGATAAGGATGGGTAGCTAGGGGTCATTGGACATAATTCTACGTGCTCAAAGACCGGGCTTTAGAACTCTAGAGACTGGCGATGACCAGTACCAACAGCATCAGTTCCGGCCGCTGACCGGCAACGAGCCCGAGGACCACCAGATCACCGTCTGCGTGCGCAAGAGGCCGCTCAACAAGAAGGAGGTGGCCAAGAAGGAGGTGAGAACTGATTGAACTCTAGAGACTGGCCATGACCATGACCAGTACCAACGGCATCAGTTCCGGCCGCTAGCAACGAGCCCGAGGACCACCAGATCACCGTCTGCGTGCGCAAGAGGCCGCTCAACAAGAAGGAGGTGAGAACTGATTGAACTCTAGAGACTGGCCATGACCATGACCAGTACCAACAGCATCAGTTCCGGCCGCTAGCAACGAGCCTGAGGACCACCAGATCACCGTCTGCGTCCGCAAGAGGCCGCTCAACAAGAAGGAGGTGGCCAAGAAGGAGGTGAGAACTGCTAGAACTCTCTAGAGACTGGCCATGACCATGACCAGTACCAACAGCATCAGTTCCGGCCGCTGACCGACAATGAGCATAATTTCAACGCATTGCGTTGGCGTTTAGCACACACGAGCGGTGCGAAATCGCAACGCAACGCGACTTAGGCCTGGTCTCCATCAAATCGGAGAGGAGCGGAACGGAAATGCATTTTGAATAACCAATCAGATTTCATTATTTCCACATCTCTCCACGCCGCCGCCGCTATCAAAATCTATAAAAAAAATTCGTCCGCGTGACACATCCTGTCTTCTCCGCTCTGCTCTGCCTTGGTGGAAACCGGGCCTTACTCCGACGTCATTGGCGTTGGTGAATGGATTGTTAGTCTTTGAACTGACAGCCTCGATATTTAAAAAATATTTGTCGTCGTAATGCAGCATCCCCACCACGTATCTCTGTCTCTTGGAGTAATCGACGACTGTTTGTTTACAGGTGGACGTGATAAGCGTGCCCACCAAAGACCAGATGATAGTCCACGAGCCTAAGAACAAAGTGGACCTCACGAAGTACCTTGAAAACCAGAAGTTTCGCTTCGACTACGCCTTCGACGACTCCTGCACCAATGAAGTTGTTTACAAGTGAGTTTCACACTTTTTCTTGTGTTTTTGTTATACAGGTTGGGCCAAAAATGATTGTCAATGGCAACGCTTCATTTCTCAAAAACGGTTCGAGGTAGGGACACGTGTGTGGTGGGAAACTGTGCATAATTTCATTAATTTCAAGTCACATTGGAGGCGGAGCACTTCATGAAACATCGTCGTACTTTTTGTGTAATTTTTTGGCCTGTATTTATTTTAGTTAAGGGCATTTGCTCCCGACAGGATACGAATCTTTGTCCGTGGCTTGTTGTAATGCTCTTTACGCCCTTTTAAATGGTCTAAGGGTTCAAGTTTAGATGAAATAACACTTTCCGTATAGTCTGGTCTGCGAGCACGTAGAATTTTGTTGAATGACCCCAAGCTACCCATCGCGCGCTATATCGCGCGTAATTATGTTGCTGTCGCACACTCACTGCGGGCGCCCGTCGAACAGTCGCGACAGCAATATAATTACGCGCGAGCGATAAGGATGGGTAGCTTGGGGTCATTGGACAAAATTCTACGTGCTCACAGACCAGACTATAGTACAGTCAGTGTTAAATAGTTCGTGACCACCAAAGTAGCCACTAAGTTCGCAACACGTCTTTGTTACAATTAGAGTATGGTTGTGTTATGAACTTATTGGCAGAAACTATTTGATGCTAACTAAAGTGACTAGCCGACTAGAACATTTAATTTTCTCCCAGTAGGATACGAATCTTTACCCGGTAGCGTGTGATGTTCTTTACGCCCGGTCACGCGGTCACAAGGTTCAAGGTGAAAGAAAACTTCTTAGTACATTCGACAGCACACCGAACTATTTATTGCAAAGTAGCTCCTATGTCAAGTACATACGATACATTTCCAGATACACGGCCAAGCCGCTGGTGCAGACGATCTTCGAAGGCGGCATGGCCACGTGCTTCGCCTACGGGCAGACCGGCTCCGGCAAGACGCACACTATGGGTGGCGACTTCCAGGTAAACTAGCACTTTGAACCTTATTCTCTTGTGGTAGGGTTCAACTATGATGCTTTTTATTTTTCCTCGATCTGGAAAAAGCCTTTGATACGGTGTCCGTCCCTATCCTTATGCACAAGCTAGAAAGCGTGGGAATAAGGGGAACTCCGATTGCCCTTTGAAAGCTGCTAGTCAGATAGGATACAAATAGTAAGACTGGCTGGGTTGTATTAGTCAAGGCGCGGGGATGACGTGTGGCGTGCTTCAGGGCAGCGCTTTAGGACCAACTCTTTTTCTCGTCTACATCAACGATCAGCATGAAAATAACTAATACAAAAAGGCGCCCACTGAAAATCAGTGTCTTGGTCAACGGGCCAAGACGTTACTGAGTGGGTATAAAAAAAAAAAAAAAACAAAAAAAAAAAAAACTAATGCCAAAGTCCTATCGTACGCTGAGGACACTGCTATAGTCTTGGTGAATCATGGGAAACAGTCAAAACTAGTGCTGATGTCTAAAACAAAATATATTTGTTTTAAATTTACCGTGCACATGTCATAGTTATTGTTTTTTTTTTCTGGCGTAAAGAGTCCCCTCTCGATCTAACAATATTTCTATTGGATGTTCAGGGTAGTACCAACATTAATTAAACAAACGCTGGCCGTAACTGCAGTTGCGTTTCACCGTCTGTTCTGGACCTAAGTTGCTCAGATGGAAGAGCAGTCGCCCGGCAAGCGAAAAGTCGTGGGTTCGAATCCCACCTTAGGCAGTTCGATTCTTTCAAGTTGTTTTAAAAATGTCATGACATTTTGTGGTCTCCGATCCACAGGGCAAGACGCAAGACTGCAAGAAGGGCATCTACGCGATGGCGGCTCGCGACGTGTTCGCGTATCTGAAGTCGCCCAAGTACAAGCCGCTCAACCTCATCGTCTCCGCCTCCTTCTTCGAGATCTACTCCGGGAAGGTATTGTCTATGACTCATTTCATTTCTATAGTCCGGACTGTGAGCACGTAGAATTTTGTCCAATGACCCCAAGCTACCCATCCTTATCACTCGCGCGTAATAGCGCGTGTCGCGCTCGCACACTCTCTGCGGGCGCCTGTCGCCCAGTCGCGACAGAAATATAATTACGCGCGAGCGATAAGGATGGGTAGCTTGGGGTCTTTGGACAAAATTCTACGTGCTCACAGACCAGACTATAGAGATAATCTTTACGTTTCTGAGACGTTTGTAGTTAGATGCACATCAATTGTGTGTCGAACACGCCTTGGTATGGTATTTATACTGATAACATAAAAAAATAATGTAAAAATGATCGGTTTTTAAAATATGTCCATTATTTACCAAACAACTCATTTGTGAATCTCGAAAATGCGTTAATTCGAGCCTGATACCAATCGGTTAAATCTATGATGACGTATCATTACTTTTACGAACAATGTGTTCTGTTTTTGGGCATATTGCTGCGACACCGGCCCCGCCCCTTGTCTCATTCACATCTCCCTTTAGTTTCTGTGATCTGTAGTTATATCAATCTGTCATAAACGTGATTTGAATAAATACGTCATATTTCTGTTATTGGGTTCTTGCTTAGAGGTTAGATGAGATCTAATTCGGTTTTGTTTTAGTGTATTTTGTCTAATGAAATGGTGTAAAATACAGTCCTGGAACATTGATGCGTCATCTTTTCAGGCTGCACTAGAGCAAATATTCTTTTAAACATTTTGTATGGCGTGTGGCACATTAGGGCGGAGTTTCAGTGAGTCTTTGGACATAAGTGGCGCGCCGCTCAAGAGTTCCCACCTTTATCGTCATCATCATTTCAGCCACAGGACGTCCGCTGCTGAACATAGGCCTCCCCCAATGGTTTCCATAATTGCCGGTTGGTAGCGGCTTACATCCAGCGCCTTCCTGCTACTTTATTAGTTCGTCGATACTATCAGAGTAAATACAAATGAGTAGGTCATCTCCATAGAAACGCACCGAGCGCGGTTTGTATGTGAGCGCGCCAATACGTATGCGGCGCGCACGCACTCACTGACAAAATTCGGTGCAACTCCCCGCTAATCGGCCGTTTGGTGTAGTGGTTAATAGGGTATGCAAAACCGAAAGTTTATCAAAAACCGATTTTTTTTTCGGTTTCCAAGAAAAAAAACCGGTTTTCGGTTTTTAATCGGTTAGTATCGTTCTATTTTTTTTTCAATCAACTAGTAGTTACATACAGCGATTTGTTACGTTCTGTCCATTTTATGTTAGATTACATTATTTAAGAGAGGGTTATAACAGTTTTGATAAATTTAGCTTATTCATTATAGTCTTTTTCACCTAAGATGATCCGTATGACGTTTCGAGTTTGAAAGATTTGGAGATGTCACATAACTAAACCATAGCGATTTATCTATCGATTTTTTTCGAAGAGTTCGTAAAACCTACTTTTAGAGAAATATTTTGTATAGGTTTTATTTAACAAAAAAACATGTTTTTTTTAATTACAAATATTATTGTAACAATTTTTTATTGATAATATTCAAATTTCATGGTTCGTGTTCAAAAAAACGATTCCTAAAAAGTACTGGTTCTGTTTCTTTAAATTAAAATCTATTAATTTATTTTCAATGCGTTTATTAAAGTNCTAATCGCCTTAAGATGCATGTTTACTACTATAATGTCTAAAATTTATTAATGGACTTATTTTTATAATAACCCAGATTCATCCCAACCCAATATACGTTTATTCTGCGCTGGTATCAGCTTCGACATGTCAATGGACGGACTATCAGTCAGACCGCAGGGGGTCTACTCTGCAACGATTTCAATCTACGATGTCTATCTCTCTCACTCATTTTAACAAGTCGAGATGAGTGAAAGAGATGAAATCATCAAAGATGTGGCTTTGTGTGACTAATGTTATTACCGTTTATGCGTTATGTTGCGTAGGCGTGTAGTAACGTATTACTGCGTGACGATTATGGATTAGTGTCATAACTTGTGTTGACAAGCGAGCATACTTGTCACTTGACGGTGGACATGGCTTCGGGATTACTTTCTTTCCCATGGGTTTATTCAAAATGATCTTCCTATAATATTATGTCATATGGGTGGTAACCTCCTTAGTACCAAACCTTCGGTCTGATCATCACTTTCCATCAAGTGAGATGCAGGCCAAGAGCTTCCTCGTTGGGTTTAAAAAAAATTTGGCCGATAGAGATAGAAATACAATATTAGCAACCTTCTGGCTTATTCAATAATTGAATATTATTAATAAGATTTTTTTTATAGAAGTGAGGTAAAATACCCAGTACAAAAGTGAAAAAAAAAAACTTTCATTTAGACTATTAGCAATAATGTTTCATTTAGAAGACCTTGTAAATTAAATGTGTTTTTGTCATTGTGCAAAGACAGTGAAACCCACTTAAGTCAGCTCATCAAATTCCATCCAAAACAAATTCACGTTTGTGACGTCACGAAATTCCTCGGACATGTCGAAAAGTAATTCAATTATCGTCAAAATCGAATAAATCTGTCCCAATTCCCAAGCCGATTTATTTGCGAGTCGATATCAGATTTTGAATTGTAAATGATTTGTTGATAAGGACGATATTGCGTTGCCGCCAATGTCATTTTGACGAGAACTGTTATGGACACAGTTGTTTGGAGAACAGTAACTTCAATCCTCCGATAATTGAAATGATACGCATTTCGGCATCTACCTACTTTACACCAATGGCCTTTTGTATTTTTACTTTATTTTTTATTTGATCACAAAGAGATGTAGATATTTGTATTGTAACCAAGATTCTTAGCCTAATTTAAAAACGTGTTAATATTACGTTTTTAAGAGTGGACTCTCTTGTTGTATTTGTAGTTTTTTAACTTCTAAAGGTTTTTTTCAGTAGCTATAATGTTTCTTCTCAAGTTCGCAATTCGACTCTATAAATTTTAACTTTTTATCAAGCCACTGAACAGCCAAGCAGATCTACTAAGAGAGGATTCTCCAAAATTCATCTCCTATGGGGATAAAAGAGGATCCAAAGGCGCTCGTCGCACAGTCGCAACAGTAATATAATTACGCGCGAGCGATAAGGATGGGTAGCTTGGGGACATTGGACCAGTGCCGGATTAAGCCAGCGCGGGGCCTGTAGCAAATTTCTATCAAGGGGCCCTTGGTTTGCTTTAGGTTCTCAAGTTTAGGGTATCAAATGAAACAAAACTGTTACAAATGAACTTTTCTTGATTTAATGTGGGAAAATTTAGAGATAATCCTTTCAATATCAACTTCTTTAAGCAAATCATGCTCTATATTCAACAAAGTAAGATGATTAAGACGTTCTTGTCCCATCGTGTTCCTTAATTTATTTTTAATACGTTTTAATGTTGAAAAAGAACGTTCGCCACTGCAGTTAGTGATCATGAGAGACATGTAAATGCGCAAGGCAATTTCTAAGTTTGGAAAACACGATTCTAAAGAATTATTTATTAAAAGTTTATAAAATGATTAGTTTTTCAAACGTTGTTTGTAAAATGATCTTTTGTCATACGTTTTTTGTTAAATAATAGTAAACCTCATTTTTTAATTATCCGCTTTTTTACTTGAGACTCTAAAACACCTTGCTCTTAACCTACCGTCACTAGCTTTCAATAATCGCGAAACATGATCGATATGATAATCGATTAAAAAGGTTTCGACTTCAAAAAAGGAGGAGGTTCTCAATTCGACCCGTATGTTTTTTTTTTTCTATGTTTGTTACGCGATAACTCCGCCAATTATGAACCGATTTGAACAAATCTTTTTTCGGCGTACCTATAGGTAATACCTCAAGGGTGGTCCCATTTAAATTCAATAATAGAAAAGACAACCCCCAAGGGTGGAAAATTGGGGATGAACTTTTTTATACGCAATATCTCCGCCGATTATAAATCAATTTGAACGATTATTTTTTTGTTGAATAGGTATTATCAAAAGGGTGGTTTCATGCGAATTTGAAGAAAATATTTCACCCCCAAGGGTGGAAAATTGGGGATGAACTTTTTTATACGCAATATNTCGAAAAAAAAAGTCAATCATCGAATCCAGCTCGGCTGGGCAGCTTTTGGGAAGCTTTACGATATTGTCACGCGGCTTCTCCGTCGCGTCGCCACTCCGCTTTAAATCCACTTTGAATCCGCTTTGAATCCGCTTGCAATCCGCCAGGGTGGCAAGGGCCTTAAAACTCAGAGGCACACTGATGTTCAAATACCGTAGCCGAGTCCTAAAGCCGCGGTACGCGTTCGCCACGAAAAGAGTGAGCAAGACAGCAATATCTCACTCACACGTTTCATGCCTTGTTTATAACGACTAGTCTTAACGCCCAGTTAATAAAACATCGAAACATTACAGATAATATCACAATAAACAACAAAATTAAAATTAAAACTAAATGCATTCTGTCGAGAACACTGAGAATATTCCCGGGAGCGTTCTCGGTTCTCGAGAATATTCTCAGTGGGAATATTGCCGGGAACGAGAACTTTCTCAGCGGCACATCTCTAGTCATGACTAGGTCCACCCTGCGGCGCCGGCTTATCCTTGAATTTTGGGACACGTTGTATATAATATAATAACTATAAACATCTATGATTAAATTCTCATACTTTTCACATTAATTAATATCTTTCTCCCACGCTATCGTCTTATCAGAATTAAATTAACTATTATAGTCTTATATTGCTTGCGTAATTATATTGCTGTCGTGACTGTGCGACGGGCGCCCGCAGTGAGTGTGCGAGCGCAACAGCAACATAATTACGCGCGAGCGATAAGGATGGGTAGCTTGGGGTCATTAGACAAAATCCTACGTGCAGAGAGACCGGGCTTTATAATACAATTTTATATAACTTTCAGGTAATCGGTTTAAACGTGACAAAGAGACTGGTAAACGTCTTCAATCCTCTCAATGTCAAGGTAAATTAATACATAAAGATATCTACAATTACACAGACCTATCCTATTTTTGCGACTTGAAAATGAGAATTGCATACCCAATGGCCAGTGGAGATCACCATAGACTGTTCCTTACCTACACATACCTCATCATCACCAACAGCCTTTTACAGTCCACTGCTGGACTATGAGCCTCCTCCACCATAGTGGAGGGTTATGCCATAATCCCCACGCTTGGCAGGCGGGTTGGAGATCGCAGTTTAAAAGATTGAAGTTTTTCAGAGAGCGCTGCTGCCCGTTCTCAGTTTGATGTGTAGTCCCTAAGTCGCTTCTCACGACACCCGCGGGACCACGTACCTAATTTACTTCAATTTTTTTATGATGCATACTGTTTCTCCAGGTGCATTTCACGACGAAGCCGGACAGAAAGTACTTAAGCAGTTTCCTGAAGCGATATAACTTCGTGGCGTTCAAACGGTTGGCGGGGGTCGTTAACACGTTCGCCGCGCAGGTCAAGGGCATTGCTGATTTTGACGCGCTATGCACCGCCAAGAGTATTCATTGCGGTAAGTCATAGTAAAGTCGGTATCAAATAGTAACTATATAAGAATAATCTAATTAATAAATATTCTAATTGTAACTAAGAGTTGCAAACTTATTGGCTACTTTGGGTGTCAGTATTTGACGCTAACTGTAGAATAGTACATCAGACTATACATTGTTATTTCTAAATCATCCCTATTAAAACGACATAAGATGCCACAGTGTGTACCTTGATGTACTATCGCCCGTACATTTAAGTAGGGCTTAGGAAATACTGGTCGACAATGCACGAACTATACCGCTTGTGTCGACTAGTTGTAATAAGATTACCTGTCTCAGACGCAGAAGTCCCGGGTTCGATTCACAGCGGGGGCAAAATTTTCTTGTAGGTTTGACTGGTGGCCGTATTCCAAGTACACGCTCCTCATTTAATTTTACTTTGCCGTATGTTAATGCTATAACTAAATTATTCAATCATTGTTTTGTTCCTCAGGTGCTGCCAAAATCACAATCACTCCATTCTACAGATTCTCGCAATGTCCCAAAAAAATCAAAACCATATACAATCCAGAGAACAAGAGGGCTACGACTTTGAGAAGCAAAGATTCGTCGGATAATACCAAAGATGATACAACAAAATCGCCTAAAGATAATGTCACAAAAGAAAAACTTACAGCGCAACCAGCTGTCAACAAATCGGCTGCAACAATACCTCCGAAAGTTGAAGCTAAAANCTATAAAGTCGGTATCAAATAGTAACTATATAAGAATAATCTAATTAATAAATATTCTAATTGTAACTAAGAGTTGCAAACTTATTGGCTACTATGGGTGTCACCAGGCCTGTTCATCTCCGCGAGTTTACATCGAAAACAAAACACGCACGATGGCCCACCTACAGGATACTATTCGACAAGGCCTCACATACGAGCGAACATTGACTCACGCACGCGTATTCTTGTGTATGATGGAAGAAAATAAAGAAAATGGTGTACTTAAATACTGTGCAGTATTTAACTGCCTAAATAATAACAAAAACACAGAATGTACTTTTTTAAGTTGCCTCAAAGACACTGGGAAGTAAATAAGTAGTTAATATTATTCATGATAATTCATGCTAAATCATGTATTTCCTCAGTTTGGCACCTCACGTCACATCATTTTACCGAAGTCAGCCCTATAGCTTCGGCGCAGTGCCGATTACTGACGTTTGTCAACAAAATGGTGCTTGACTCTTGAGACAGGCTAAATTACACCATATTGTTAATAACATGGAGCATACATTTTTTTAAATACCTTCGCGAAGTAAAACTTCTGTACGTAGTACTTATTATTATTCTGTGGTGTCACGAACTACACGAACTATTTGACGCTAACTGTAGAATAGTACTTCAGACTATACATTGTTATTTCCAAATCATCCCAATTAAAACGACATAAGATGCCACAGTGTGTACCTTGATGTACTATCGCCCGTACATTTAAGTAGGGCTTAGGAAATACTGTCAACGTAAGGACTATACCGCTTATGTCGACTAGTTGTTATAAGATTACCTGTCTCAGACCCAGAAGTCCAGGGTTCGATTCATAGTGGAGGCAAAATTTTCTGATAGGTTTTGTTGGTGTAGAGCTTGTTCGAAGTCTGCTTGGTTACTTATTCTATTTCTAAGATCATTGCCCCCTTTTTTACTTTGCCGTATGTTAATGCTTTAACTAATTAATTACTTATTTAATTATTGTTTTGTTCCTCAGGCGCTGCCAAAATCACGATCACTCCGTTCTACAGATTCTCGCAATGTCCCAAAAAAATCAAAACCATATACAATCCAGAGAACAAGAGGGCTACGACTTTGAGAAGCAAAGATTCGTCGGATAATACCAAAGATGATACAACAAATTCGCCTAAAGATAATGTCACAAAAGAAAAACTTACAGCGCAACCAGCTGTTAACAAATCGGCTGCAACAATACCTCCGAAAGTTGAAGCTAAAACTGAAGCCAAAACAACCGCAGCAACTAGCACTCAATCGCCTAAACCTAAAGTTGAAAATCTTAAACCGAAAGTGCAGACATCTGCACCAAATGTAGACACTAAATCTAAAGTTGAACCTGCCAAGCCTAAATTAGAAACACCTGCACCTAAACCTGCAACTCCTCAAACCAAAGTTACAACTACACCCAAAACGGAAACTAAAGTTGCAACTCCACAAACTAAAGTCACAACTGCAGCCAAAACAGAAACTAAGGTTGAAACACCGAAAACTGAAACTCCAAAGCATAATCCCNGTGTTTAATTCTACTGGCCTATTATATTAAAATGATATTGCTTATTTATGGAATTGGTTACGTGTAATACAGATAGAATAACCGATTTAAATCCGGGTTTCGATTTTTAACCCTAGAGTGCTCGCGCTATGAGCATTTTGCCGCCCTTGGCAAAAAAATCGAGTTATTTTCTACACGATGCGTTTGTTAAAGTCAAGCGTTTCAGTAGCTGCCTCCCAATACTTCACCTCCATGTATTAGAAATTAGAAGAAATTTAGTGCGCAGGTGACCGCAATAGAGAACGATTGTTGAACGTTTGTCACGTTTTGCAGCAAATTGCTCACTGCGCGACTACTGACGTAAGTAAAATTTATGTGTCTGGTTTTTAGTGTAGTTGGAAGATTATTAGTTTTCATTGCGTATAATGTTGTTTTGACATTAATGACGTCATAACATTGATAAATACTATTAGTGCTTAATTTATTTCGTGTCGTTTTCGGTAAAATTCACGTAAAATACAAAAAAAGAAAAAACAAGGAAGATTTCGGATTTCGAAGAATCTGGTGCACTAAAATTAGTGGAAAATGTATACTAAAGTTATGAAGAAAGTAAACATAGTCATAACGATACTGTTATAGAACAGTCAGCGGCAGAATCTGAAGATGATGTGCAAGTGCAAATTTACTGTGCAACGCACATTAAATGCACATGTGACAGGACTGTTTTGTTGAAGCACATGTTATATGTAAGGAAAACCTTTAAGTGTGCTAATAAGTTTAATATTTGATGATGTATGTAGGTAAAAACAATAGTGTTTCTAAGATTTCTATAAACATTTCCTAACATTTCCAAAATATTTTTTTTTCTTTAAATTTTAACCACAAATCTTTAATAAGCATTATTTTCTAATAGTGTATGCTTTATTCTATCATTTTTAACTGATTTTCATATTTTTAAACTGTTATTTGACACACAACCGGACTTTAAGTTTGGGCGGCAAAATGCTCATACGCGAGCACTCACGTTTCACGGAAAGGCGCGACTACTCTAGGGTTAAAACCGGTTTTAGAATTCGTCGAAAAAGGGCGGTTTTTCCGATTTTTCGGTTTCCGATTAACCGGTTTTGCATTCCCTAGTGGTTAAGAACGGACTACTATGCCGAGAGGTCCCGGGTTCGATTCCCGGCTTGGCAGAAATTGAAATGATGAATTTTAATTTCTGTGACGGGTCTGGGTGTTACTATGTATAATATGTACCTATGTATTTAAAAAAAAAGTATATAAGTAGTATATCCGTTAAGCTAGCACCCATAACACAAGCATTAAGTTGCTTACTTTGGGGCTAGCTGGCGCTGTGTGAAATTGTCCAAAGATTTATTATTATTTGTCCAAAGATTTATTATGATTTTAGACGTCAGAATATATGGGCTTATTGCGTAAAATCGATAGAAAGGCGCAATAAACGATCTCGGTTCCTATCCTAAGCCTACTGTGTGCTTACCATGAGTTTACGCTAGGTGTGCTCGCTAGCGACTGCGTAAAAAATGACATTTAAATGTATGGCATATTGTGCAGCGCCCCTAGCGGCTACTTTCAGGAAATAAAATCTTCATAGATTTATTTGACGTACTCGCTAGCGAGCACATCTAACGTAAACTCATGGTAAGCACACTGATGATGAAGATGGCGATGATATCGTGGTGGTATCCTCCCCAGGTGTTCGACCTGCTAGCTGACAAGGCGAAGCTGCGCGTGTTAGAGGACGGCAAGCAGCAGGTGCAGATCGTGGGGCTGACGGAGAAGGTGGTGGACAACGTCGACGAGGTGCTCAAGCTCATCCACCACGGGAACGCCGCGCGCACCTCCGGACAGGTGAGAAAACAGAAATAGTTTATTCAGTAACTAGCTTTCCGCCCGCGGCTTCGCCCGCGTGGAATTTTGTCTGTCACAGAACAACTTTATCGCGCGCGTCCCTGTTTCAAAAACCGGGATAAAAACTATCCTATGTTCTTTCCCGGGACTCAAACTATCTCTATGCCAAATTTCATCAAAATCGGTTGCGAGGTTTAAGCGGGAAAGCGTAACAGACAGACAGACAGACAGACAGAGTTACTTTCGCATTTATAATATTAGTTGGGATAGTTAGTAAATTCTTCCCGAATGTACGCGAACGTCTAACTAGGCGATGGTTAGAAATCGACCATTGCTCGTCGCAGTTCCTCACGGGACATGGCAACTTTAAACATAAACTTCACGAATTCAAACTAGTCTCCTTTTTGCGAGTGTTCCACTGATGATGTCAGTCATGAGCAGTCTGCCCATCATATCTTGTGGGAGTGTGATCTTTGGAAACATGAACGTGATAAAATGCTTAATTCAATACAACATACATCTGTTTCCGCAATTTATTACACCGATCTTGTCGCGACAAGGAAAAATTTCCGTGCTTTTAAGCGATTTTGTGAAAAATATTATTGGCAGGTAGTTGCTAATTGCTTATAAGATAGGCCCCCTTAATTTAATTTATTGTCCGTGGTGCATAATCTTTTTCTTAAAGGTTTTAAACCTTTGTTTGTCACCTGTCATCCGCTTTGCAATGGAGGGAAGTCGAACCTTAATTTCGAACTCCTCCTATGTTCTTCTGATTAATTTCGTTGCGGGTCCAATGACAGTTTAACTTTCCCCCGGGACAAACTTGACCTTCATTGGTTGGGTTTTTGTGGCGGTCAAGCTGTAGATCCTGGCTACACAGGAGTTGCAGCGGTGGGAACGAGAGGTGGGAATAGTCCCGTAAATAGTTTATTCAGTACATGTATAAACCTACCATGAAACTTGTTTGTGTTATTTGCCGAGAGATGTCACTGCTCTTTGAGACGCGTAAAGCTGTACCGCGGTGTCCAGATTTTTTTCCCTGGCTTTATATACCTGGAGTTGTTTGACATCTGTTAACCTTTGACAACCTTTGTGAACCATTGAAAACCTGTGTCAAGCAATAAATTGTCACCTACAAATTGACGTCTTATTTATACCTAGATAATAGTCCCTTAAGTGCGCCGAGAGTATCCGTGGTTTATTCAGTACATTACCCTTTCCTGTGGCCTAAATGTACGTATTTTGACAGTCAAGATCTCGCTGACGTTCAGAAGTCGTCCTATTGAAAAAAAAAGTTCTGAATCCGTATTCATATGTCATTTCGATTGAACGATTTTTTTTTGTTAATGGCAACCAAACCTCTCTGGGAGGTTTATTTCTGCCAATGTCGAGTGAAAATTGACATAGTTATCAATAGAACGTGGGTGTTTCAGTTCTATTGATTTTTCATGGATTCCGTGGAGTTAAGTATGCCCGAAAGCAGGTTTCGAGACGCCACCGGATCCAAAGTGGGTTGTTCATACGACAACCCACGCGACGCTCGATGCGCGCTCAAATTCGAAGTATTTAAATGTTTTTTATAATCTATCACTTCACTGCACTTTAGAACACAAAATAACACCAAATTTGTACACTAAAGTCCATTAAATAATAAATTGAAACCATTAAAATAGATCGACCATGCTTCCCGTTCAACTACCCTCCACGGAATCGATTGAACGATTACTCAATAGGATCGCAAACTCAGGGATTTGTCATTTGACGTTTAATCACTTGAACCAAACTTCAAAATAGGTAATAGGTGAATATCGCGGAGGCACGATCGAATACGGATAAAAACGAAATCGAAACAAAATCGGGCGATTAATACGTGAATACGAAAAGTGACAAATCGCTTGCGAGTCGTTGAAGTCTTGATAAGTGAATTTAGGCCACAGGGCACTTATACACGTCCCAAATATAACTGGCCCTACCAATCAAAATTCGAAGCCACGATAGCCGAAGAAGGGGTCGGACTAGCCGACTCGAGATCCGAGGAACGCGGGTTCGAATCCCACCGCCTCTTGACTATTGTGGTGAGCCCACTCGTAACACAGGCATAATTTAGCTTACCACGAGGCGCTAACGGGACTATTAGTAATTTGTGCAACACAAATTACTAATAGGTATTCTTAAAAAAAAATGGTTCATTTCGCGCTCTTTGGATGTGGTCAATAGCTTTTGTTCACATTTGATTGTGTTGTTGCCTCGTCAAAAAGAAAACATACGTTTATTGGATTGACACTATGATAGTAAAATTTTTCTTTAATAGGTACGTATTTTTTAAATTTGCCAAACTTACGGTTGTGAAGCGGTGGGGAGATGTGTGACGTAATTTCATACTATATGACGGCCACAGCAGCGGCATTTTTAATGTGAATCCGCTGCAGTTGCTGCTGTCGCAACTTGCGATCTAATGTGAAGGCCATCTTATGGTATGCAATGTTGAAGCACATCTCATGTTTCGTTGATATTTGTCGAAAAAAAGATCCGCGCCACTCCATTTCACAGGACCAGTTTAGTTGAGCGCTATGTCTATACTCGTAAGTCATGTAGTCTAAAGCCTGGTCCATAGAATTTTGTTCAATGACCCCAAGCTACCCATCCTTATCGCTCGCGCGTAAATATATTGCTGTCGCGACTCACTCACCAGGCTGTCGTGCTCACGGACCAGGCTTTACAAGCATTCACTATTTATAGGTCATATAATTTTTATGAGAAAAAATTCAATCGACATCAAAACGATGATCTCCGTTGAGAATCGTGTCGTTATCAACCTGAGTGAGAAACCACACGGTGCGGTGCGGCGTTGCACCGCAAAGATTTTGCCGCATCACTGTACACATGGTGGTATGCGGCGCCGCAATACGGCACCGTCTCGCCCAATCGAAGTGCGGGGCGCCGGAACGCACCGCCTGGCATATCATTGATGTTTATATGCAGGATGCCGCAGCGGCACCGCTCCCTAAGGTTTCAGAGCGATCTTTTTCCGGATCATGATCGAAACAGTAATAATTTATTTAATGTGTTTGCAGACGTCAGCAAACTCGAATTCGTCGCGGTCGCACGCGGTGTTCCAAATAGTGGTCCGCTCGCCCGGCATGCACCGCGTGCACGGCAAGTTCTCGCTCATCGACCTCGCCGGCAACGAGCGCGGCGCCGACACCTCCAGCGCCAACCGCCAGACGCGTGAGTACCGTTCTACCAGAGTAAATACAAATGAGTAGGTCATCTTCATAGAAACGCACCGAGCGCGGTTTGTATGTGAGCGCGCCAATACGTATGCGGCGCGCACGCACACACTGACAAAATTTAGCGTGGATTAGCGGTGAGGTGCGCTGAATTTTGACCTCTTCTTCTTCTTCTTTTCAGCCAAATGACGTCCACTGCTGGACAAAGGCCTCCCCCAAGGTTTTCCACAATGAACGGTCCTGCGCTGCCCGCATCCAGGCTCTTCCCGCGACCTTTACCAGATCGTCGGTCCACCTAGTAGGAGGCCTGCCCACGCTACGTCTTCCAGCCCGTGGTCGCCACTCGAGAACTTTCCTGCCCCAACGGCCATCGTCTCTACGAGCTATGTGCCCCGCCCACTGCCACTTGATTTTAGCAATTCTGCGAGCTATGTCGGTTACTTTGGTTCTCCTGCGGATCTCCTCATTTCTGATTCGATCACGCAGGGAAACTCCGAGCATAGCCCGCTCCATCGCCCTTTGGGTGACCTTGAGCCTTCTTATGAGGCCCATAGTAAGCGACCACGTCTCAGATCCGTATACCATCACTGGCAACACGCATTGGTCAAATACTTTCGGGGCGATAAGTCCTAAGGCACCCCCTGGTATCCTAGGGGGTACCAGGGGGTGCCTTAGGACTTATCGCCCCGGGTGCCAACGCATGCTACGCCGCCACTGACCCAGGGACGCCAAAGAAACAAGTGCATTCCAAGATCTTCCAGTAACAGATTCCGGGCTGCCGCATCCAGTTGCTTCTCGCGATCTTTACCAAATAATCTGTAATGGGAAGCCTGCTTACACTATGTATAGATCGTTTCATCCACAAAGACGCGCCCCACCAATTTTTGGTCGAGGGAAGCCTGGGGTGTGGGGAGTTTGATCCGAGCGTCAGTTGCGAAATTATTGTAGTGTGTGTGTGTGCACTCATGGATAATAATTAGCGTGTACTGATGAAAACACTCAGGATGAATGGTGGAGCACGTCTTCGTGGATAGCACTATCTATACGTCTTTCGGTGCGTAACTGCTTCTATATAACTTTTCGCTTGAAGTTGACATTTGTGTTCATGTTTTGTCCTCCCCCTTTGCGGCCTCCACAATCCTTCCGGATAGTGTGCAGAGTGTAGATCAAATTCTTAATTTGCCTCCGATAAATTGGAAATGATCGTGCCACTGCATTGAAGTCCAAATGACCTGATAATGTTGAATGTTTTTTTTCTGATTCCAGGCATGGAGAGCGCAGAAATCAACAAATCCCTGCTAGCCCTGAAGGAGTGTATTCGTGCGTTAGGAATGAAGGGCAACAACCACCTGCCCTTCCGAGTGTCCAAACTAACGCAAGTGCTTCGCGACAGCTTCATCGGCGACAAGTCGCGCACCTGCATGATCGCCATGATCTCGCCCGCCATGTCCTCGTGCGAGCATTCGCTGAACACGCTGCGATACGCAGACAGGTGCGTCACACACTCTTCGCTATCATCGTCATTAAAGCCTGGTCCGTGAGCACGTAGAATCCCGTCCAATGACCCCAAGCTGCCCATCCTTATCGCTCGCGCGTAATTATATTGCTGTCGCGACTGTGCGACGGGCGCCCGCAGTGAGTGTGCGAGTGCGACAGCAACATAATTACGCGCGAGCGATAAGGATGGGTAGCTTGGGGTCATTGAACAAAATTCTACGTGCTCACGGACCAGGCTTTACGTATTTATTTCTCTATGTACAGAATCTCGATGCATAATTTACTTCTTAAATGCAGATTACTTGTATTACGGCAGTTCATTAATTATTGTGTGTACAGTCGCGGAATGAAAAGGTTCGTCACCTTAGTGTCGGTTTTCGCTTGCACTAGGTACTGTAAGAGTCAAACCTGCCAACATAACAGTGCAAGAAACAGTGCTGCTAACATTTAAATAAATATAACGTTTGCTAACGAATAAGGTTTTGCTTGTTTATTTTTCTATCCCATCAGTGCAATGCAATGATGACATTGACAATAGTTTTTTTTTATTTAATAGAAATAATAATGGCAGATTGAACCAACAAGAAGGTTTTAGTTTATCAATCATAATAACCTTCTTGACAAGATAAATCGTCAAACAACTTTGATCTGTACCTCTATTACGAAAAACTTTCGAGTTCGTTTCGTTTGCGTATTCAAAATGCCATCGAAAAATTTTGTATGAAAAATTAAACAGCGCCCCCTAGGGCGGCTATAATATAGGGGGCGCTGTTTAATTTTTACTGAATAATTTTGAACTTTACTGACGAACAGTTAAAGATTATTTTCTCTAACACGAGATTATTCTGTAACATAGTTTCAAAAGGTAATATGTGCTCGCGTTCGTTGAAGGAATCAATTTGAAAACTGACGAACCTTTTCATTCTGTGACTGTACATGTATACGTGAGCGTTAATATATCGCGTTAAAACTGTTCAGAGTGAAGGAGCTGGGCACGAATGACGCGCGGCGCGCCGAGTCGCCGCTGGCTGATGTCGACATGGAGCCAGCGCACGACGACCTGGCGCATCTACGCTCGCTCAACGTGAGTATACGTAGAATAGGGTAAATACTGCGACGTGTAAAAGTGCTTTTTAGGGTTCCGTAGCCAAATGGCAAAAAACGGAACCCTCTAGATTCGTCATGTCTGTCTGTCCGTATGCCATAGCCATTTTTTTCCGAAACTATAAGAGCTATACTGTTGAAACTTGGTAGGTAAATGTATTCTGTGAACCGCATTAAGATTTTGATGCAAAAATAAAAAAAATATATTAAATATTGGGGGCTCTCCAAACTTAGAACTGAAACTCAAAAAATTCTTTTTCATCAATCACATACGTGTGGGGTATCTATGGATAGGTCTTCAAAAATGATATCGAGGTTTCTAAAATACTTTTTTCCTAAACCGAATAGTTTGCGTGACAGACGCTTCCAAAGTGGAAAAAAGTTGGTCCCCCCCCTCTAACTTCTAAAATAAACTATAAAAACTACCAACGAAAAATTTTTTGAACGAGATCTAGTAAGTAGTTTTTTTTAATACCTCGTAAATCGTAAACCGCTTATTACCGCGTAATCTTTCATACAAATAACAAATTAAAAAAAAATCATAAATCAATGGTAGGTACTATCGGGGACTCTTCCGCCTGACCACTTTGTAGAAATTTTAGCGTAAGCGCATCGCTCCGGTCACGTGCTCACCCCGTCTCTAATTGGTTACGCATTTTACTATATTTTTACTACGACCAATAAGAGACAATCAGGGCTTAGGTTGCAATACGAAATACCATTGTGCACTTTATTGTCATACGGTTAGGGTTTAAAACGAAATGTTTCTCTTTCTTCAATCTTTCTTAGTTTTAGGCTGAGTTGCACCACCTAACTTTGACCGTAGCTATAACGGTAACCGGTGCTTTTTGTATGGAGTTTGACAGAATTTTGACGTTTGTTAAAGTTAAAGTAAGATGGTGCAACTCAGCCTTAGAATTTTAATAATAGAATTTGGTTACAAACAAATAGATATGTATTTTTTTTATATTGTGTTTTTATACGAGGTCTGTATGCTTTTTGCTTTGGCGATCTGTTGACATATTCTCTCCTTTGTTTTTTTGTGAAGTTTCGTGATCAATAACCGATTGATTTGTGTTGACCCGTGCTAGTAATTGGACTGTTTGATTGCCTTTTTATTGACCTCCGCTCGATTACTGAACCATGCCTCTCAAAATAATTCTTATATTTACTTACAAACTTATCTATACATTGTTAACTGTTTAAGTATTATTTAGTTTGAAGTTTAATTGTTATTGATTTAAGACCTTGTGTAAAGACACTTAATGTGCAATAAAAAATTGAATTTGAAATAAAACTAACTTAATATTATAATATTTACGATAACCAATTACCTGGATCATTGCTACCTAGTGCAATATTGATATTAAATTTTAATAACGTAGATAAGTGTTTCTTTAAAACGGAAAACAAAATATGCATTAAAAATAAATAGAAACCTATTATAAGTTTTTATTTACATTCAAGGATTTAAGAAAGTTTTAGCCAGATCTTACAATAATTGTTTTTAAGCCACAAATATTCCTTAACTCTTTATCAATTAATTCAATAACATATTGTTTTAAATTATAAGTTCCGAATAAATTAAATACCTATTAAATAAGTAAAATTCTTAAGTAACTGTATGATTTTGTATTTCTCACCCTAACTAGCTAAACTAATATCATGAGATTTACACTCATAATATCAACAATAATTGTAGAAAGGGCTACTTTTTTCTCGGGAAATTGCATAGTTACCTCGGAATGTGCGATAGCAATTTTGTGACCCGAGCGGGCAATCGCTAGTTCAAATTTTACACGAAGTCTCATATAATATTTTGTAGTTTCAAATTGACTAAAATGCGACGTTGCCAAACGAGCGCTACGGATGCGGGTAATAAGCAATACTCAATCCTAAATGCTATACATAGAGCTTGGTTTGCTAGGGCAAACATCTACAGTGATGCGCCGACGCTGCTTAGACCCGAAACATGAATGAACGGGGGCGGAGTTTAATCGAGCGTGTGTGTGCAAACAATTTAGGCCCTTAAGGTGTCAAGGCGTTCGAGTCCCCGATAGTACGGAACCCTTTGTGCGTGAGTCCGACACGCACTTGGACGGTTTTTAAAAGTTTATTTGCAAAAATAAATGAGTTATGAGTCTTTTTTAATCTAGTGCTCTAGTTCTTAGAGACCTACGCTAGCGTCTTTTGAGCATCGTAGTTTTGTCAGTGCGACGGTTTCTTTCGGTCAAGTAACGCAACCTTCTGTCACTCTGCTGTGTGTTCAGCATTGTCGTCGCGGTGCCACTGCGTTAGCGCCGCGTTGACGCTGCGTTGGCGCTAGCGAGACGACGGACGTTTGGAAGACGCTAGTGTGGAGGAGGCTTTAGTATTTAGCTCGTAGCGTGAACATGACGTTCGGTGGATTCAACCCCTCATTAATTTTGTGGAATAAAGATGCAAAATAAATAATCCAAAAATGGGGTTTCATACGCAAAGCTTTTCACACAATGGCGCTAGCCGAGCGGCTTTGTTTCCCGAACATTCGTCTTTGATTTTACCTCCAGGCTGTGCCGATCAATGCCGGCCTGAATACCTGTGTACTGTAACCTTCTCTCCGGCCCACAGGAAGGCGACATGTCAGCAGAGATGTACACGTTCCACGAGGCCATCGACGAGCTGCAGCGCGCCGAGGAGGAGGTGCTCGACAACCACAAGGCCATCTCCGACTACCTGCAGCACGCGCTGCAACGCTGCTCCCAGCTGCTGGCGCTCACGCGGGACGTGGACTACGACCAGGACGGTGGGTGCTGTACTACCACAAGGCCATCTCCGACTACCTGCAGCACGCGCTGCAACGCTGCTCCCAGCTGCTGGCGCTCACGCGGGACGTGGACTACGACCAGGACGGTGGGTGCTGTACTACCACAAGGCCATCTCCGACTACCTGCAGCACGCGCTGCAACGCTGCTCCCAGCTGCTGGCGCTCACGCGGGACGTGGACTACGACCAGGACGGTGGGTGCTGTACTACCACAAGGCCATCTCCGACTACCTGCAGCACGCGCTGCAACGCTGCTCCCAGCTGCTGGCGCTCACGCGGGACGTGGACTACGACCAGGACGGTGGGTGCTGTACTACCACAAGGCCATCTCCGACTACCTGCAGCACGCGCTGCAACGCTGCTCCCAGCTGCTGGCGCTCACGCGGGACGTGGACTACGACCAGGACGGTGGGTGCTGTACTACCACAAGGCCATCTCCGACTACCTGCAGCACGCGCTGCAACGCTGCTCCCAGCTGCTGGCGCTCACGCGGGACGTGGACTACGACCAGGACGGTGGGTGCTGTACTACCACAAGGCCATCTCCGACTACCTGCAGCACGCGCTGCAACGCTGCTCCCAGCTGCTGGCGCTCACGCGGGACGTGGACTACGACCAGGACGGTGGGTGCTGTACTACCACAAGGCCATCTCCGACTACCTGCAGCACGCGCTGCAACGCTGCTCCCAGCTGCTGGCGCTCACGCGGGACGTGGACTACGACCAGGACGGTGGGTGCTGTACTACCACAAGGCCATCTCCGACTACCTGCAGCACGCGCTGCAACGCTGCTCCCAGCTGCTGGCGCTCACGCGGGACGTGGACTACGACCAGGACGGTGGGTGCTGTACTACCACAAGGCCATCTCCGACTACCTGCAGCACGCGCTGCAACGCTGCTCCCAGCTGCTGGCGCTCACGCGGGACGTGGACTACGACCAGGACGGTGGGTGCTGTACTACCACAAGGCCATCTCCGACTACAAGATCCAGTGAATTAACCAGATGTAGTAGTAGCTGTTTCTTTCATCATCCTAAGGTTATCTAGTATCTATTGCAAGTCTGCAGGGGCACGGCCCTGTCTAATTTACCAGAAGCAAAATGAGGATTTGGCCAAATACTGACCAGGCCTGATGTTCTCATATTTGTCCCTGAACCGGTTGTATGCTAAGCATACGAAAAGTTGATCACCTTTTGCGACATTTACAGAAGACTGGGGTGATCCTATTTTACTCTGCCGGAACCACGTGTCTCTGTTTCATAAATAAAGGCCTAAGCCTGCCGACTTTTAGTTGGCCGATAGTTGGGTCGGGCTGTTAATCAGTATGGAGATGTATCATGAAAGTGCGCACATTACATCGATTTGGTATCGGCCAATTCTTCATACAAATTAAAATCTGGCCCAACTATCAGCCAACTAAAGCCTTGATCACACATACCGAGCAAACTGGCGAGGCAGTGCTCTCGGCCGAGTACTCGATGAGTATGAACATTACGCCGAGTGCTCGGCCGAGCGCTCGAGTATGTGACTCGCTCACCCAACTGTCTCGACCGAGTAAACATTTTACTGTCTCGCCCGTTTACTCGGTGGACGGGCGAGACAGTAAAATGATACTTGGCCGAGAGAGTTGAGTGAGTCGTCGAGTCGTCGTCGATCTGTCTCGCCAAAAAACTTGGCCGAGCGCACTCGGCGTAATGTTCATACACACCGAGTACTCGGCCGAGAGCACTGTCTCGTCCGTTTTCTCAGTACGTGTGATCAAGGCATTAAAATCGGTAGTCTGCGCCTAGGCTAATGATGTTGTGGTTGTGTGATGTGTGTGTGATTGACATCTGTGTTTGTGCGAAGTGTTCGGTGCGGCGGCGCGCAAGCGGTGGCGCGGCGGGCGGGACTTCGCGATGCGACGACGCGCGCGCACCATGATCGGTTTGACTCATTCAGGCGCAATGCTTTGGGAGCTGGCGGTGTCTACAGAAAGAGCATTAGGCGGGTTTTAGAATTGCGCTGACCGCTCGCTGATCGTCGGCGCTGACAGATCAATATGTATGTAATTGAAGGGAACGTTCCTGAGTGACGCTGATCGCTCGGCGCTGACGCTTCATACATTTCGGCTGTCAACGCTGACGGTCAGAGTGCGTCAGCGTGATTCTAAAACCAGCCCTAGATCTTGAGGGTTTTGTCATTTGTGGTCCGCGTTGTTTTTGCACTTTCTCAGTTCAGGATACTTTCTTAATTTTTTTTATTTACAACGAGGATGCTCTTGGCTTGTATCTCACCTGATAATAGTAAGTGATGATCAGGCCGAGGGTGGAAGTGAGCTTAACCCGGAATCCTCAACCACAGAGGAACTGGCTTTCTTACCTCTAACTGCCGGAACACAACAATGCTATTTTTGAGAAATTCAACTCCAGACTGCTACATACTGTAATTAATTAGTGCCGGTTAATATTTGTGATGATGGACAGGACAGGATACATTTTCTTATGTAAACAGTCATTATTGCAAATAAAATATATGAACGTAAACCTTCCATCAAGCTCTTGACAATTGCCAATGCAAACATATAACTTGACTTATTATTCTTACAGAGGATTTTGATCAATCGTGTAATTTCTAAATGATTGAACATAAAGTAATGAATTTGAAGTTTATTTATTGACTAAGTGCATAAACGGACAACAAGTTTTAAACCTACAAGATCTGGCTCTGTCTGTGTGTCACCGCAGCTGGGGAATCGATTCAGTTCGTCAATAAATAAATAATAACACGTGATTATCATACTAAAATGGTTCATCGCTTCGTCATAACGCCAACGCTGCCGCTCGCGCGCCTGGTATTATTGGTCTAATTATTCCAAATTTAACAACCAACCGAACATTATTAACTAGATGGGGATTCGAGCTATAAAAAACTAAAAACTTTTAAAAAATCATGACGGGATAAGAAGTGGAAGTATTCTACGCAAACGAACGTTCTCAGTGCATTGAATCGAATGTGCATTGCGGAGTGTTTTATCACGAGCAACTTAACATCATGTATCATCTCAAATTGGGTTTTTCCAAATTATTGACATTCAATATAAAAAATGCTTATTTTGTTTTATGGTAACAATCCCTAAGGCCCAGAACAGACGGTGAAACGCAACTGCAACGAAACTGCAACTGCTAGTTACTTTTGAGTACGCGACTAGTTTGAAACTTTCAAACTGGTCGCGTCATGTGTGGTCTCTCAACGGACGCTATGGCAGAAACTTAGATGCAACTCAAAAGTAACTAGCATTGCAGTTTCGTTTCACCGTCTGTTCTGGGGCTAAGTCGATTGTTTTCTATCTTAAATGCCAATAATTTGGGAACACCAACACAACCACCAATATCGACGGCATTTTAATAAATTGCCCTTTTTCAGCGTACGCGACGCAATGGGAGGAGCTTCTAAACGAGCAGTTAGCCGTACTGGCGCAGTCTCGCGACCTGGTGGCCGAGTTCCGCGCCAAGATGCAGCAGGAGGAGCACATCTCACGTCGCATCCAACCGCGTCACCACTAGCGCCGACTACCAGGCAGCGAGAGATTTGTAAGCGGAAGGTGAACTGTGTATTCAAAGCTGGCAACACCAGCGGACTTAACGCCATTATGTTTTTTGTTCAACAAGCCGTGATGACAATCCTAACGTTCCTAGTTTCCGGTGAAAATTAGTAACCCGCTAAAAGTGAATTAAACAAGGCTGTTTCGAGTTAGTCGACCTGATGACAGTTGAATTCGATGTGAGTAGTTTTTTTTTGTTTGATGTTTCGCGTTATCGTTTACAAATCTCACTCTCAACCGTGATGGACTGTCGAACCGTCTGCGTTTCGGTGCCGCGTACTCGTTTGATGTATCGGGAGATAGATAGGAGACGCGTTTGTGATGTTTCGAGAATAGAATCTCTACGGAATCGTTTGTATCGCTGATCTCTGTGTACATGACGGTAGATGTGTTGTGACGTCACTGCGCCCGTTCGCAGTGACCCGGAATTTTAACGAGATCAAATCACCAGAAGTATTCAATCGAAACCGAAGAATATTCCGTAGCTGGCCTACTATTGTTTCGCTTTTTTTCTCGTAAAAATTTTCCGTACGCATGTTTTGTTTTTCATCTTTCATTTCTCTTCGTGAAACTTAATTACAATGACGTCATCGACGCAATTAGTGCCGTCGTGTTAAGGAAACGATAGACTGTTTATTGTAGGGAGTGTTAAAAGCACAAACGCGCTGATTGTGTTTATTTTGCCTGGAACGGTAGCGTCGAGCGTCCACTCGACGTCATCGGTCGTTTCGAAATCGATTCGTGTGTAAGTCAACGCTATTTGGTGCGATTATTGTTTAATTTATATAGAAACGTTATTACGTTGATTCCTTAGCCCCTAACATAAGTGACCTATTAATTTCTGAATGCATTTAACTCCGCTAAGGCCTACTTCTAAAATTGTAGATATTTGTATGGATTGGAAGTACAAAGTGGCGTCGCGAGAGCCAGTGATGTGTGTTGCATGACAGTAGTGCGTCTAGTTCGGTGCGTCAGAGTATTACATGTAATGTTGTGAAACAAATTGTTTGTCGGTTACATTTGAAATTTAGCTTGCTCCGTTTTGCGCGAATTTGGTATTCACTAAATATTCTTTTTCTGAATCGAACGTTAACATTGTATAGGATTTTTCTTAGTTATATGTGGCTCATATTCTAATGATTTTGACAATTTGTATATGTCCTCAATCCTCAGTCAATACCAGCCTCGCGCAAGCAACTTGAGCATTTATACATAAGAGTTTAAGGTTTGTTGTAATTCGGTAACATATCTTTTGCCTTACAAAGTCGCTTGTTATTACTATCGTTATACGACTCGATGTGAGATATGTAAACTCGTCCTTATTTCTATGGAGATAGGTTTGTTTTACAGCGACAACGAAATGATATCTGCCAGTGTTGAAGTTTAAAAAATTGTAATTGGAATGTTGACTGTTCAGCAAAATACAAAAAAGGTAAAATGGTATTGCAGACATCCTAGCAGATATGTAATTTTGTTGTTGGCTGTATTTTGAAAGAATATATAAATTTTTCGCACCTGGAAATGGATGGGACTGTGAGATTAAAATCGATTCCTTCCAGTATCGAGATTATGCTTGGACTCAGCTCAAAAGGATCCGAGTCTCAACTGATTTTCTCGCGCTGTGCAAGCGGGAGGTGCATCTTAGCTCGTTATCGATATTTCAGTTTGAGTGCGGCGGCCATATTTTATTTACATAGTGATTTCGGACATTGGCGTACTCTGATAATGGCACTCAAACGACCATCGACGTAGACACGGTTGTATTATAATTTTATTGTTAGTCTAACACCCTGTTAATGTAACATGTAATGTAACAAATAAATAATGCTTAGGCTTACCAGGACATCGTCAACTTTGTGTTTTGATTGTACCCCGGGCTCGAGCGAGCCGATGAGGTGTTGTGTATAGTAGCCTCTTTCCAGCGATGAACTAAATAAGACATTAAGAACATCGACGCCGCGAGCGTGCCCCGTGGCCGCGCAGGCGTCTCGGTGTAACGTAGATCAAGATTTATTTACTAGAGTAATTAATGAACATGACTGACATGAGCCGGTGAGATAAATTTCTATACACAGATTTTACTCTTACCTTTGTACTGTAATTATAATTTATTTTTACTATTATCGTCTAATAAAAAATACATTCATCTCATAAAAATCGCAAAACGTGTAACGTGTTTGTTTAATTATAAAAAACGTAAAACTACTGAAAAGACTCGTGTAACTGTAAGTTTTTTTTCAAGTCAGTACATTTAATATTTTTTCATTTATTTATTATGTTGTGATAAATCATTATATTGGAGTGTTCCGTGACGGGCGTTCGCGCTTTCTTGTTTTTCGGAGTCGTGCTAAATTTGTAATTGATTGTAATTCATTTTGTCAAGCAATAAGCGTTGTGAAAGTTGTTTTGTGGTCGACCGGTGCTAGGCGGAGGCCGTCGCTTCGAGTTGAGGGTTCGGAGCCGTCGAGAGGCGACGTTGGGCCACTCAACATACAAACCCGTTGATGCAATCGACTCGTGGCTTTCGTAAATTCCTAAGCTGTCCTGTACTCTGCCGGGGAAGCCATCTCCGGCCGGTTCTACGTATACTGTAGCTTACAAAAGAAGTTATTAGATAGTGCTTTATTAATAAATGAATAAAGAAATCGGCGCTCTGTATCAGAGTCGCTGCTTACGCCGATGTTTGATTGTACTGAACGAAATCTCTCTTTACTATATTTTTTTAATTGTATTATTGAGATGTGTCGTTTGCCGCGAGGTCGTAGGGAGCGCGGGCGAGCGAGCCCGCGCGTTACGTCTAGTTGAAATGCTTTATTATAATAAACATATTTTAACATCGCACATTATAATAAATTAATCGAAATTGATTCCTTTGTTTTATTTCACTAACATTCTCTATAAAGAGTTAGAGGGAAATTTAATAAAAAACGTGTATACAAGGATGGTAAATAAATGTATTATATACAAAGTTTGTACATTGGTACCTTGGAGGAGCTTATAGGCAAAAATAAAATAGGACAACAAAAATGGAAGACAAGACTACAATACAAACATATGATCGACAAGGTGGGCTTTTGAATCACAAACATACCACCATAACGAAGACTACAACATTGTGCATTTTTATTTGTGCCAATCGTCTAAAAGTAGGCGAATGTTTGTCGACTTTGAACGAAAATAAAAATGATAGCATAATATATTTATCGGCTGTTATCAATATGCGACTTATTTCACAAGTGAATGATATTACGTCATTTACATAGAATCATATGACCGAGAATAAGTACTAAAAATAATTTCAATATCACAGTAAACTTCTCATGACGTCACAAAATAAATAAAGTTAGGTAGGTACTCAATAACTTTACAAATCAATTAACTAACTAACATATTAATGAAACGCAGTGTCTTTGGTACTTAATTTAAAAGGACACATTGAATGAAAATACCAAGTTCGTATGATACAAAATTTTGCGGTAAATGCATCTAAATTATTACATAGTTAATACCTTAGTAGGGCAAGCAAATTTTATATAAAAATACACTTTTTGAATAAATTAATTTGATTTGTTAATAAATTATCCCATGTAGGAATTAAATAACTTATAGCCCATATAATAAAACAATTATTTAGTTAGCTAACAAACGAATAGTGTCATATTGTGATGATTTTTATGAATTTATGATACACCAAATACAAGCTAAGTTCTTTCAATAATTTATAAGTACACACATAACATAGGCCTGCCTGCAAACCTATTGTATAATTTAAACCACTGGAAGTATTTACAAATACATCTAAGAGAGCCCAATGAAATCGCACGACAATGTGACATTAAAACATAACTTCAACATAAATTAGGCAAGGAACATGCTTCGCGTCCCAACGCAATGTCTTTACTTTCAACTGCTTTTGAGGGTATGTTACTCCTCACTAAGCAGCATCATCATGAGGTGAGATAGAGAACAGTTAAAATGTGGATGAAAGTGTAAAATGTTACAGTTCTCATGTAAAGGCAGTAGTTTTTTAAAGTTTGTATGGATGAAGAGTAACTTCAAAGACAGTTTAAAATGAGGTGTCTCTTTTTAATCTAGGAAAAGTAATTGACGTTTCATTGTTGGAATGATTTTTGTAAAATCCAATAGTCGTTTTTGTTTAAAAAAGATGTAATAAAGGACGGTGGTATTTATCTACGGAGTAATACTACAATGTCATAATTATTATTACTCTAGAAGTAATCTCAAAAGCAGAGTTCGGTATTTTGTTTTCATTTAATTAGGAAAGTCTAAGCCCGTATTCACAAACGTAGCTTGCTTAAGTGAAGCAGCAAATCTAAATCAAACGCACAGCGTTTAATTGAACTCTGTGATTGGTTCGTGTGTCACCCTGTGCCACGCGCACTGTGAGACCTCATAGCAATGTTTGTGAATACGGGTGTTATTGTTTTTGACTACCTAAAATTAATGAATAGGTAAATAATAATTAATGAACCGAGCTCTTTACACTCAAGTAAACATTAAAAAGCAACCATAGGAAGTTCAATATAATACTAAAACCTCACTACTGAAAAGTGAGCGTTGCTTAAACCTTTAAACTAGGAACTCAGTCAGCTGGTCATAGTACGTCCTCTTCGAAGTCGTCTCCAGTGAGGATGTGAGGCTCCCCAATGGCTGGCACCATGTGAGAGAACTCGCTCGTTGCCCACAGGTATAGGTTCAGAGTGCGCTCTGTACATTGAGCTATGAACCTGGAAAGAATAAACCAAGGTTACGTTTAGACTAAAGCCCGGTCCGTGAGCGCGTAGAATTTTGTCCAATGACCCCTAGCTACCCATCCTTATCGCTCGCGCGTAATTATATTGCTGTCGCGACTGTGCAACGGGCGCCCGCAGTGAGTGTGCGAGCGCGACAGCAACATAATTACGCGCGAGCGATAAGGATGGGTAGCTTGGGGTCATTGGACAAAATTCTACGTGCTCACGGACCAGACTATAGCAGTAAAACTTGTAGAAACTAATGTAAATAGCTCTGGAAAGCCAACTTCTGGAAGATTTACGTAATGGTGACAGCTGGCGGAAGTCAACTTTTGCAAGTTTTATTGCTAGTTACCTAATTCAGTTGGATGTTTTCTCCATAGTATGTGTATTCACAACGACATAATTTTTGTATGTATTTACCAAGTAATAAATAAATATTGCAAAGTGCAAATAGTCGGCATAAGTAAATGAAAGCATATTTCTTGACTTTATGTATCTGCATATCAAATCAAAATCAATTTGCAATTGCAATTAGTCTTAGCAGCACATGGAAGCCAACAATATTATTTTTTCTTATCATGACGGACGATAGATAAGGTTAATATCAGAGTAAATACAAATGAGTAGGTCATCTTCATAGAAACGCACCGAGCGCGGTTTGTGTGTGTGAGCGCGCCAATACGTATGCGGCGCGCTCACATACAAACCGCGCTCGGTTACGATGGTAAGTGATGATCACACCTGATGAGGTGAGATACAGGCGAAGAGCTTCCTCGTTGTGGATAAAACAATGACATGTCCTTTTTATTCAAATAAGTTGGTAGAGTGCAGCGTCGGACTGGCCATACAGTCGGGGTGGCATTTGCCAGCCGGGCCCCAGCCTGTGCGGGCCCCCCACGGGCCTGGGTTGCGGGGCATGCGGCAACCGTTGCCCGCGTGCATGTCTCGGAAACTATGCGTCGTACAAAAAAATTGTACAGTCATAATNAGTGGTGTAGTAGAAACTAATCGAGTATAGTTTGGATATGACTTTTTTTACTGAGCTCTTCCAAACTATACACGATCAGTACGCAAAATTCGTGTATAGTTTGGAGTCACAGATTTACAAACGGGCACTACAAAATATACACGAGCAGTTTCCTATGGGTGCGTTCTGGCCATGTATAGAACGGAAAGACGCTGCAGTCGCAGCTTGAAGCTGCCGACACTAACTGCTTCAAGCTGTCCGTGTATAGCAGGCCTTAGTCCAATAGTCCAATAGGAATATGCAAGGTTTTTTTATTTCTCACATTTCAGTAACCTTGGCATTATCAAATCAATCAGTGCTTTCCTTTAACAAAAATTTCAAAAAATACGTAAGATATAGACGTTAGAGATCTCATGACGTCATTGGTCATGTTAGAACGACACGCAGAGTCCCATACAAATTACTACGAGCGGGTGACATTTGACGTCACGCTCAGCTATTTCCATACAAAGTTTAAACACTTGTAACTTTTTTGTTTCCAGTCCGATTTCAATACTAGTTTTAGAAAAATTCTATGATTTAACTAGTGTTTATTTAGACATAATTTATTAACATTTAAAATCGATGCATATTCCCTATTGTGATAAAGACGTGTTGTGGACTTTTTGGCTACTTTGGGTGTCACGAACTTTTTGACGCTGACTGTACATACGAAAGCAAAACAAGGTACACACTGTGGCATCTTATGTAGTTAAAATAGGTACTATTTTGCAAAAAAAACATGTAAAGCCTGATAAGCATTTTTATTACTTACCTGTCCATTTATTAAACCTTTTTTGATGGATAAGACTACAAAGTATCAATTAATGAAGTACAACGACCTGTAAATATGACAAAAAGCTTTTGGTTGCCAATTTGTATCGGGAAGTTCAGTTTAAGATTAAGTATTGGTTCCATAATTATTATGGCTGGTGTTTAAGATCAAAATGAATTTTAAAAAGCTTTAATTTATTCATATTCATGTTTTTAGCAATCAATTACAACTCTTGTACTGTATAATGTTTCGTTCGTTTCAGTCAAATGATGTCCACTGCTGGAAGGCCTCCGGTCTCCCCCAAGGATTTACTATTAGTAGATAATATTATCAGAACGTGGAAACGTGGCCCCTCACTATAGGCCTTATACAGAAGCTCAAAGTTGCACAGCGTGTTATGAAGAGGGCTATGCTCGGTGTTTCTTTACGAGATCGAATCAGAAATGAGGAGATCCGTAAACGAACTAAAGTCGCTGACATAGCCCGACGGATCAGCAAGCTGAAGTGGCAGTGGGCAGGGCACATAGTACGCAGAACTGACGGCCGATGGGGCAGCAAGGTTCTGGAATGGAGGCCACGTACCGGAAAACGCAGCGTGGGACGTCCACCCACAAGGTGGACCGACGACCTGATAAAGGTAGCAGGAAGGCGCTGGATGCAGGCCGCTACCAACCGTGCGATGTGGAAGTCATTGGGGGAGGCCTATGTTCAGCAGTGGACGTCCTGTGGCTGAAATGATGATGATGATTATCAGATCGGGTTTCAGAGCTTTTTCGTTACTACACATATTGAAATAACTGTGGTCAATAAATAGTCAATTAATGGTACAAGTAGTGTCATAGGATCAATACACATTTGTTAGAGATTCGGGTATTGACAGTTCATAAGAATCCGAAAATTGTGACAACTGACCGGTGGTGTCATCTAAATAATCGTATCTTTTTTACTACCTATAGAATTTGTACCGTATCTTTTTAACCTGCTTACTTAATTTTTTCAAGACTTTCTTAACTTATAGTAAGTTGAGTACTGTATCATTATCAGAATTCATATTTTTCAGACTTCACTACTAATTTAAGTACAAACAATAGCAACAACATGTGTGCCAGTTACGAAACCCGAAGATTTCGCAACGATCCCTAAAAAAGCTCGAACAAACGTATGTGTTTTAATAATGCTGGCCAACAATAGAAGCATCTATCATACGTCTGCGTATCATAGGTATTGTAAGTACCAATCAGCGGTATAATGAATGAGTGATGCTTCATGCGAGAGGGAACAAGTAATGATATTCGTAGATTTGTTTTTATTTAGTCAAGAGTTGTTTTT